ACCCTATGATACAGGTAACTAATTATATCCCCATTTTACAGACAAGACACTGAGGCACAAAGAGATTAAGTAACCTACCCGAGGATACAACATGGGCCACTGGTAAAGCCAATATTTGAACCCAAGAAGACTGGTTCTAGAGTCTGTGCTCTAATCACCAGGCTATGCTGCCTCTATGATTTAAAACGAGACTGTTCCTAGATATTGCCATGTATGCAATGCTCCTGACACTTTTGTTCGGCATTTATGTTCAATGAGCTGCTGGGATGGGATATGCAATTTCTCTAAATCTATATTTTAATATGAAGTATGTTAACTATCAAATATTCCTAAAACGTATAAAAATCTCTTCCAAAAATATCTTCGTTGAAACTTAATTTTTACAAAAACATATAGCTGTAACTGCCACACCTAAGATGTGTTAGGATTTACTATTCCTATAAGAAACATCATCTTAGAGTCTAATGAAAACCCTTGGTAATCTGAATATTATAAGATACTAAATTATACTATAATTATTTCAAAGGTCAAGAATCTTAAACATTTAGTCTTAAAACTTTCTACCTGGGTGATGCAATCAGGAAACTGAAGTATGTATGAAAATATTTAATTATATAAAACAAGTAGAAATCTAATAATTTAATAATCTTTAAATAAAATGTACAATATTTTCCCACATGGGTATTTTTTTTCCTCTATTTCATAAAAGGAACTTTTTTAAAGAACATTTTTTTAAATGAATATGAGTACATATTTTAACTTTCCAGTGCTAGTTTCAAGGAAGTGGTTCGGAATAAAACATTGCATCACTTATTAACTTGTGTGAAACTCTATGAAGCTATAGTACTGAACACCACTGTAAATTTTTAAAAAATGGACTCAGACCCAATCCAGCCTCTTCAGAAATTTATGGTCTAGTAGGGAAGGAAAATGGACACAGAACACAGGTGTGAGAACTGTTTTTAAAATTTTAGAAGAATTTAAAGAAGGCAAATGAGAACACAGGTGTGAGAACTGTTTTAGAAGAATATAAAGAAGGCAAATGTTTACTAATCAGCAGATCCCTGCCTGACCCACAGCTGCGATGATATCAACATCCCATGTGATGTTAGAATGGCCACTAAATTACCTTTTCCTCAGAGAACTTTAAGGCAAAGTACCATAGTGGTTTCGAGCATAGACTACAGAGCCAGAATGATCTGGGTTTGACTCTCATTTCTATCATGTACTAATTTGACTTTGGCGGGTTCACTTAACCTTTCTGTGCCTCAGTTCTCTCATTTATAATTAAATAATTACATACAGTTCATAGAATTATAGTGCTATTAGGAGGATTAAATGAGTTCATGTGAGTGAAGTAGGTGGAACAGTACCTGGTATACAGAATGAAACTACGTTACTAACTAACTATGAATCAACATAGCTTAAAAAGAGAATCTGATGAAACACTTGTACTGAGGCCTTAAATAACCCACAGTTCAAGACATATGAAAAGATGTCACCAACCCACTGACCCAGTTATGTGGCTGGGTCCATCCTTACCTCTGTATAAGCAATGGACCCACATCATAGCAGTGTTTTCCTAACTTGGTCAGCAAAGCAGCCCTTAATGAAAGACTGTGAAAGAGTTAGTTATACATTTAATTCCACCGTCTGAACCAGAAAAATGTCCCTCTGGTTGTCAATATTGTTTATGTGCAATACAAAAATCATAACCACAAGCACCACTGATCCAGAAAAAAACACACATTGCCAAACTGGGCAAGGTTAACTGTTTTCAGCGAATATTGTTTTGCCAGCATTTGCTCACTTTGCTATAAGAACAGGCATAGACAATGAAGACTTAAGAAAAATGTGAAACAAAAAGAAAAACATAAAACTGAGAAAAGTCTAGTAATTAAATCCCCCATTGTTTGTTTTTTAAAAAATAATTTCTATCCATTTTTAATAGTATCACAAATCAAGCCTGTTCATAGACCTACTGTTCTGACATATAGAACACATATCCTGAAATCCAGATACTATCTATCTATCTATCTCTGTTTATCGAAACTATTTACAATAGCCAAGACATGGAAGCAACCTAAGTGTCCACCGACAGATGAATGGATAAAGACGATGTGGAATATACACACAATGGAATACTACTCAGCCATAAAAAAGAAATGAAATAATGCCACTTGCATCAACATAGTATGATAATCTCTAGGTTCATCTAAGTGAAATAAGCCAATGACAAATATCGTATGTACAGACAACAAATATTATATGATATCGCTTATATGTGGAATCTAAAAAAATGATACACATGAACAAACTTATGGTTACCACAGTGGAAAGTGGGGGGGGGGAATAAATTAGGAGTTTGCAATTAAAATATAAACAAACAAACACAACTACGTATTAAATAGATAAACACAAAGGACCTACTGTATAGCACAGAGAACTATACTCAAGATCTTGTAATAACCTATAATGGAAGAGAGAGAATGTAAAAAATATATATATATATGTGCATACATATATAAAACTGAATCTCTTTGCTGTGCACCTGAAACTAACACAACATTGTCAATCAACTATATTTCAATAAAAAGAAATAATTAAAAATTTCTGCCGTTGCCCTGTTTTATCAGCAGTTATTAGATTTCTACTTGCCCAGAATTCACATATTCTATACAGCAAGAGACCTGTTCTGAGAGTGAAGCAGCTTTGCTATAAAGAAAGAAAGCACCACCGAATCCTGGAATCGAACCTAACCTTTTAGATTTCTAATCCAAGGCATTTTCTAGAAAAAAGCAGCCCCAGACCCAAGTGCCCCAGCTAGTTGGTGGCAGAGCTGAGGTCCTTTTAATTTGCCATCTACCAGTTCTGTGCTTTTTGTTTGTCTGTTTAAACTTTCCTTCAAAACTGAAAGTCAGAAGAAACAATAAAATTTGAAGGCACAACCTTAAATAGCAGCAAAAAGCAGGAAGATGTCTATCTATCTTTGAGAAAATATGTAGTAGGACAATGGAATTTTCATCTAAGTTCAAGTAATCACAATAAAAGGAACCTACCATTTACTTCAGAAGTAAATGGGTAGGACATTGTACAGTATATTTAAACAGCTCCATTGGCATTTCCTACTCCTCGTACCCCCGATCCAATCTGGAACAGATTTTGTAATAAGAGAAGGATTACAAGGGACTTCCCTTATCCACACCTTTGTAGTCAGCCCTAAGTATGTGTGGGTAAGAGGAGGATAGTAGAGAAAAAGCAAGGAAGAGGAGAGAGGAAGGGAGAGTAGAATTACATTTCATTTATATTACTTCATTTATATAACTACTGGTTTTCCTCTTCCTTCATATGTTACTTACAAAGCTGCATTCTTCCATTAGAAATCAATCATCAATTCAGACATGATATAAAAAATAAGTGAATAATAACAAATTTTATAAAAATTCCATAAGCTATTTCAAGTTGGATATGCAAATGTTATCATTATTTAAAATCAGTAAATATCAGATGGCAAATTAGAGGTTAGGGGCACAATAAGAAAAGTCAAGTGTATAAAACAAGAAGATTTCAATTGCATTCAATTATTTCGCCCAATCACCTAGAAGCAAAGATTCTCTCTCAAAAATTGCATTGCCTTCCCAACTCCTTGGAGAGCCAGTTTAGTTAACAGCCTACCTATGCTTCAGAGATGACCATGCAGCTTACATGTCAAACTCATTTTAAAGTGTCAATCATGTCCCTTTCAATCTAATTAGTTTGGAAAGTAGTGTCACTGACCTGGAACTATGCAGACCATTTATTATCATATCATTTGATCAACCTAACACTTTACCTCAGTTGAGTTTGAGACACCTGTAGCCAAAAATGTAATATCCTTTCTCCCACTCATTACTGGTAACTCTCAATACAATTTCCTATTTACAACTCAATTTCTCTCTCTCTCTGAATAAGCATGGCCAACTTCACAGAAGCATGCCCAGAATTTCCCTTCTTTAAGATTTCATGATAATTAAAATAGAAAGGGGAATAAGAAAAATATTTTATATTTTATCTATACGAATGTATATATATATATATATATATATATATACACACACAAACACAATACCTGAACCAGAAAAAATACATATATATATTAAAAAAAAAAAGATTTGAGTTTTTGATGCCCACGAACTGCTGAAAGGAGGGAAGAGGTAGAGCAGAGGAACATGCATATATGCTGGGAGAAATCTGGGACCTTAAACTTGAGGGAAAGCTATTCTTTTTTTTGACACAACACCACCGCCATTTTTATAAAAGGAATCTGTAGGTTATAAACCCAACATCACCAGACAGGTTTGTGTTATAATAAAGAAAAGCTTTTCCAGCTTCATAGTATTTAATTGACAAGGTAATCACTAATTCCTGAGAGGTCAGAGAACGTAGCCTAGTGCCTCTAGGGAAGGAGCTAAAGGCCAGACCACAGTGAGCTTGGAATGAAGCAGGGCTGGGGGAGGGGAACTGTCCAGGGCAGCACTGGTAGCTGGAAGATACAGGTCCATCAAGCAACAGAGATCACCTAGCCCACTCCCTGGCAAAAGCACGAAAATTACGAAATCTTTGCTTTAGCTTTGCATATATTTAAAAACTGATTTGCAAGACAAAAATACAAGTGGGTATCTCTGAACCACAGCATAACATATTGAATCAGGGATGAAAAAAATACATACATTCATATGCCACCAAAACATATTTGTATTTGTATTTTTAAAGGTGGTATTAAAAAAAGAAGTATAGCAGTCATATTTAAAGTAATGACTATTCACTCTAGAAGACAATCTAAAAGCAGGATGTCAGCTGCCAACGCTTCCTGTGCTTTCCTTTGGGGAAGCTGCATTTTACCAAAATTCCTGTTTGGAGGATAAGCAAGATTCTTCATTTATGTTTGCTTGATCAAATAATTATTCGTGAATATGATTTTACATCTGGTCAAATAAAATATGCATATGTTTCACACTTACCTTCAGGTGAAGAGCCTGTCTTTTGAGAAAAGACAGCATTTACTTTACTCTTCTTATTGATGTCACTGTTTACAGACAAGCTGGATTGAATTTTTCTATGCATTTTTTGAGAAACGGGTGCTGAAAGTCTTCGATTCTCTGCAGATACATGTTTGGCCCCGTGGTGGATTCCATTTCCATTGCTCAGACTTGGGTGGCCATTCTTTATCTTGCTTATTTCCTCCTCACTTTCCTGTGCTGCAGTCTGAAGCTGAGGCAAGCGCTGAGGTTGGGCTAAGTGAAAAAAACAGGCAAAGTTTATCCAGTGAAAAAAATGAATATTTGAAAATAATCAAAATAGACTCAGTAACAGACTTTCTTGGGTTTTACCCATGATCCTAAAAGTGAAGAGGAAAAAAAAAATAAAAGGAAATCATGAATAAACATGAACATAGAGAAGGCATAATTACTAAAAGGGAAAATGGGAAGGGGGTCATCAAGGGTGACTTTCCACAAGGGATATAAAAAGAGGAGAAAAAAAGGTATTTTTTTTCTTTAAAAAATTTAAGTTGAAAATCTGAAAAACGTTAATTCAAAACTCATTCAACAGCTAATGTGGATTGTTTTCTAAGTCCCAAGTCCTTTTTTTTTTTTTTTTTTTTTTCTCTACCACGGGCTCTCTAACCCTGGCCCTCAGCAGTGAAAGCATGGAGTCCTAACCACTGGACTGCCAGGGAATTCCCCCAAGTCCCTTTTTTGCTGTACGCGGGCCTCTCACTGCTGTGGCCTCTCCCGCTGCGGAGCACGGGCTCCGGACGCGCAGGCCCAGCGGCCATAACGCACGGGCCCCGGCACTCAGCGGCACGTGGGATCCTCCCGGACCGGGGCACGAACCCGCGCCCCCTGCATCGGCAGGCGGACCCTCAACCACTGCGCCACCAGGGAAGCCCCCAGGTCCTTTTTTAGGTGCCATAGACAAACAGTATTATAGCAATATCCCTGAAAATGATAAACTGCTCAATTACCTTTTGAGATAGGCAAGGAACAATGAGGTCAGGTATCAAAGCTGGATAAGAGAGAACGAGATAGTTGATTTTCTTTTTAATTCCACTTTAAATTCTGAAGAAGAAAACCTTTTCCATATTCTTTAATTTGATTTTAAAATAAACCATTTATGGAAAGATAGGAATAGAAAAGAACTTCCTTAATCTGGCAAAACGCATCTAGCAAAATTAAAAGTCAACACTGGAGAAGTGCTCCTGTTTGGTCAGAACCAGGAAAAGAATGCCCACCTTCACCCTCTTATGCAACATTACACTGGCAAAAACAATAAACACCAAAAAGAAAAAAAAACAGGGGTGAGTCCTGAAAAGGAAGAAACAAATTTCTGAGATGGGTACATAATTGAATATCCCAGGGGAAATCTAAGAGACTGTACATTCTGAAAAACTAAGAATTTAGCAGGACTTACACACGATGAACCATATTCAAATCAGCCAAATTCTACAAGCCAACAGTAAGCAACTAGAAAATATGCAAGAAAAATTGAACTCTTCATAGCAACAAAAAAAGAAAAACAAGCCAACAAACAAAAAACCCTATAAGTATCTAGGAATTAAGCTAGAAAAAAGGCAGCAGAGATTTCGTGGCAAAAATTACAAAATATTACTGAAAGATATAAAAGAAAACCCTAATAAATGGAGAGAGTATAAATATGTTAATTCTGATAATATGTTAATTCTCCCCAATTTATTTAATGTAATTCCCATAAAATTTCCAAAAGGCTTATTTGTGGAACTTGATGAGCTGATCCCAAAATTTATAAGTAAGAGTACAAGAATCACTAAGGAAATTTTAAGGAAGAAAAAGACAAATGTGGGATTTGACTTACCAGATATAAAGTCTTATTTTAAAACTACAGTAACTAAGACAGTACGGTGGTGGTCCAGGCATAGACATAAACCAATGGAACAGCAGAGAAAGTCCCCAAAATGTATATGTATGCACATGCAAATGCATGTATCTCTCATACAAAGAAATTTCAGGTATATTAAATGTCTATATATGAAGAGCTTAAAAGAAAATTATAAAAGAACATTTTATTAGCACGACACTAAAAAGGGCAAACTACTTTGATTCTTTGGACAACAAATCACAAAACAAACGGGTGACTAGTGATCATCTGTCTGCCCAGCATTCCTGAATACCCTTATAGCTTTTGATACCGTCCTCTATCTCTTCCCTACATTCCTCTTGAGTTAAAGGGCACATACGTGACTTACATTCTACCAAGGAGAAGTATGCAGAAGTGCAGAAGGTGCAGAAGTACCAATGCAAGATGGCAGCCACACCTGGGTCGTGGAGCCTCTCACACAGACAGCGAAGAAGGCATTTGTTGGTCTTGGCAGTGGGTGCAGTGTCTGGTGTCCACTTCCTAGCAGACCAGTGGGCCTAGGGTGCAGCATTAGTGGGGTTTTCATTAGGGAAGCCCCGTTGAATGCATGGGCATGATCCTTGGCTGTGTAACTCTTGGGAGAATCTATTGCTACTAATACATTTATTTTCTATAAATTAGCTAAAATGGATTCTGGTTTTTGCAGCTAAGAGCCCTGATCTCAACCCAAAATGTTATCTGTTTACATTGGTTAAGTAATGAGGTTCTTAAAATCAACACTTACCTTGCTTGTGTAGCTCCTAAGCAGAGTTACCAATCATAGCATTTCATCAAAACAACAGTAACAACAAAAACCGTTCGGTGTCAAATTTTACTACTAGATAATTTCCTGGAATTTTAAAATCTGAAGCTGCTGTTTTAGTCTTTTCTGTTTATGATTATGAACAGTTAGGAAATGTAAATTAAATCTGAATACTGAGAGGTCTTTGACTTAGAAAAAGTATTGCATGCAAAATTGTAACAGTTATACATGGCACTGATAAGTCTAAAATGGACTAATTACCTGTCATCTGGGGACTACCTAAGACTTGGTATATATTTTTGACAAACAAGACAGCTTGCATTTGAGTGACTCTTTAGCACACATTGTTTACTTCCATTCTTGTTCACATATCCTATGTCTCTTAAGGAAAAACATCTTAACATACCAGAACATTTTACTCATGAATGTGCATACTGTAAGAAAAAAAGTTTGGTGTTTTTCTGCTTAATGAAAGCATCCTTTCATACCAAGTCTATTAACAATAATACCCAATCTATAAAACTAATATATGAACTCCTCTTAGATTTATTCAGTTTTTTAGTGATAAAGGAGAATAGTTTTCTAAACAGTTATTATTTGGGAATAACACAAAGTAACAGCTATAAAATTTATCAAAATGTTCTGTTTTTCTCCTAACTTCTGGTGAAAAGAAAAAAAGGTTACTTCTCTGTTTACTAGCTATATATGCCCTTCTCAAAACTGAAATCAACAATCAAGGCTTGTGAAGATCTATTTCTAATGGGTGTGCAATCATTTAATCCAGAGATTAATTTGCTGCTCCTGTAACTTCTTGTATCAACTAGAATGACATCCTAATGACTGCTATTGAACATAAAGCTAGTTATGCGTATGTATTTAATGGGATGCCAAAGAAGACAGTTAAACCTAATTTGGTGTTCTTTTCAGAGCTCCTTCCAATAAGCGCACCAAATAAATGGAATGTTTTGGGCCACTTCTTCTCTGCAAAGAATAATTCAAGCAATCTGAGAGCTGGGTTAAGTTGAAATGTTACTGACCAATGCTGGGGAGACTTATCAATCAAAAAGGCCCTGTCATATTCCATAATCCAAGATCAATTTAAAATTATTATGTAATAAACATTCTCCATAAGTAAAAATAAAGGTGGCAAAAGACATCAGGTCTTGCCACCAAATTCTAAAACCGACAGGTCTGACCTTTTCCTACTATCAAAATTGACTTTTTGCAAATTACTGGGTATGGCCGGAGTGATATTCAAACATATCCTTAATGATTTATCTACATTTCAATCTTCAAAATGATATCTATTTCTGTTGGCAGATAAATGATAGTACATTCATTTTTGTTTCACTGCCACCTAATTATTTTTAGTGTAGTTTGTATTATGGGTCAAGTAACCAAGTATTATCTCTTCATTCCAGTTTCTTAACATTATGATTTTGTCAGATGCATGCAATATATAAGTCAAATCAAAACTGGATAAACCCTAGATATATGAATTATCTTAAAAGACATTTAACTTCATTGATCATTTTTCATAGATGTGAATTAAATCTTACAGTAAAAGTACAACTAAAACCAAATCAGGAATGTGATTTTATTCTTGAATTAAAGAACAGAAACGTCTGACTGATTAAACCATAACTACTTGGTTTTAAACAGATTTCTTTTCCTTATTGTGTAAAAGTTGTGTATGGCTTAAAAAAAAAAAAAGCACACTAATATGGGAATGACACAATGCTTCTTAGAACACAAGTGATGCCTAGGGACCCTCACTCTCCCTTTAATGATCCACTGTTCTCATTCAGCTGTCTTTCTTTTTTCAAATCTTTACATATGTGACAGCTCTCAAAAGTAGACCATAGACCAACTGGCATTTTCAGAGGTGTAACTTGTGCAAATTCAGCTCTATTGGGAGTGCACTGCTATCTTCTGCCTGCGTTATAAAGGGACAATAGAATGTAGAACTTATGAGTTGTTTTGAATTATTCATTTTTTTGCCTGTATATTCAAGAAATTTTACAAACTCTGCATTTTGTACTACATAATCACATGCGTTAAAGGTACAAAGAAACTTTTTGACACCTCTTTTCTACAGAAGGCTGGCATTTTGTTTGATATGTGAACATTCAGCATCTGTTATATCATTCTAAACAGGATGGGTGCTTCTACAAAAGACCCCATTTTAAACTTACTCTATATGAGCAAAAAAAATGTATTCTTGATATTCAGTAACAAATGCAATACACATCAAAATTTCAAATACCAGTTATATGAACATTCAGCATCTCCAAACCTGGATAGCATTGGTCACCCGCTTACCATATGTGTAAAGAATTTTTTTTTTAAATCATTGTTCACACAATGCATCATGATTGTAATTTTAATATCCATGATGAATAGTTACAAATGTCTTAAGAAATACTGTGCTTTCTAGGTTCAAATGTTTTCAATCAGGAAGGAAACCAATAGAATTAGATCTAGTGATTTTCAATAATAATAAATATGGGAGTAATGAGTCAATAGCATGAACTTCTTTTGATAAAATTTTTTTTTAAAAAACTGGGTGATATTGGAGCTAGTAATAACTATACTTGA